GAACTAAGGCAACATATACTATTTTTTTCTACTGAAGACTGCCAACCAGTCTCTAATGCAAGAGATAGATTATATCCGAGCATAATGAAAATGTAACAACAAAAAAGATAACTAAAGTAGCACACACTAGCATCCTATCTCCCTGATGTCTTGTTCCGCAACTAACTACAGGACCTCAAACACTTGTGCTTTCTCTGCAGTGCTTTCTGAAGCAACTGGTCAAGATAAGCATTGGTATGCTTCACTCCTTATTTAAAACAAACGCAAAGGTTGTTCATGTCACACAAGCAAATAGTTCCAACATTAGTGCGTTTCTTAACAGCAGTTGGAAGGGAACATGAAATGCTTTAGAAATACAACATTTAAATGCTTCACATGCCAATAAGAACTAGACATGGCCACTGAAGAAAACCCACACACTTTAAGCCATTATGAACCCAATTTCCCAGATAAAAGATCATGTGCACTGTGCATGCCACAGAAGCTGACAAAGGAACAAATCCTTGTAAAATGACAGGCGCATCAGTTATGAGTACCGAGATGGTCTGTCATGTGCAATCTGTAGTTCCACAGTAAATATGAAATGAATTTGCGGTTTAAGAAGGGAAAAAGCAACATTTTTATTAACATCTAAAAGCCACAAACTTAAAAGTTTCTGTAATATTTAACATACATAATTTGTACGATTTACCTTAATATAGGCATATTATTGTCAACAGACGTCATTATATTTGTGCACTCTCCGAAGCAGAAGTGCATCTGGAGGTATTTAATGCTTATTCTACCTTCCCTTAGTGCATGTATATGACGGTTACAGCAAATGTAACCCATACATTATGGGCAATAATTGGATTGGGAATAGAGCTCATAAATCTGATAATAAAAATGTAACTAGTATTGCCATTTTGCACTCCAAAATAATGCATATGTCAGTAATGGTAGGATGACCTTTTGTTATAGAACTATTACCATTGTTCAGTGCTATCTGCCATCACAACATGCTGAACGAGGGTTTGCTAGACGTCAACAGTACACAGAGGTTCACTGCCAGGTTGAGCCGACTCCATTACGGTCATCTTCGGCTTCTTTCTTGCCTCCTCCTGAAACAAATATAAAAACACAAATGAGTATGCACTAGAAAGGTTTAATAAGCTTTTTAGCTGTTAATTTATTTATTTATTTATTTTTTTTGATTGACTGGAAGGCATCAGCTCATCCAAACATGATGCATTTTATCTTCAGCCAACTCTTATTTATCTGAAGTACAAGATTTGGCTGGAAGAGGTCATAAATTTGTAGCTGTACCCTTTCCCGAGCCAGCTTCATCATCTCTTCTCGTAGTTTGTTGAGGATGTGAAGATTTGGCTTGTTCTTTTTGGCATACTGCTGAAGCTCAATCACGCTCTTATCAGAGTTCTCCTGAAGACGACGCAAGAATACAACATTACAACTTCTCAACCACACAAAATATTCCCCTCATATTTAATATCTTAATGCAGTGTGTTTTTGACATAACAGTGCTGACTTTCTTAACCATCTTGTTGCTTTCTCTGCCGTACATGCGCAGCAGTGAGCCCCAGTTCTTGACGTGAGGATGAAGCATTTGAAGAATCTTCTGTGAAGCCAGCTGCTTTCCAACCCTCTTATTTTTACCTGCAGTCATCAAGAGCAACAGCATTAGGTATGTTGTTTGTGATTCTAGTGCTCTAAATGAAACCTCTCAAGCACAGATACTCACACCAGCCCCGTACAGTGTGCTTCCCGCATGTCATGACATATTCACTCTTCTGGTTCTTTCCTGGAATCACTTCAAACTTGATGCTGGTGTCACCCATGCCATGGTTTCTATGGAACAGACAACAGATCTTCAGCTGCTTTTCAATTAGGCATGATTCAGGACTCATGGTTGTATTAACAGGTGTGTTTCCGGTAATATTGAATTGTCGGTGTAATCAAATGACACAACCTATATCATAACATACCTCTTAAGGCACTCATGAAGGATCTGATATGGTGAGAGTAAACCTGCTTTGTTGGTCAGCTCATACACTCTTGAATCTTCAATATTGATATGATTAAAATACTGTGGGATTGGAAAAGAAAATAAACATCCATAAACACCACAAAGAACAAAACTCTGACTAAAGATAAAATCGGTCATTTTACTCAGAAGAGCAGTACCTCCAGTTCATCTCCCTCTATGGGCTTCTCCTCAGACGTCTGCTTCACAAAGTCAGGAATGAGGATCTCCAGTGTTGCTCGAGCTGTCACAAAGAGGATGACAGTATAAATACGTATATTCTTCAGTAAAATAAATAATTGCAGTAATCCATTCATAAAAAAATTCTTGCTAATGTTACAGATTCAGACTAAGATATAAGAGTGAAAAGGTACCAGCTTTATTCTTGGCGAGTTTTTTACTACTTGCTGTTCCTGTGCCATATGTAACACCGTCTATAATGACTGAGGCTCCGAAGGGTTCACTTGGGTTTTCTAGGCAAAAAAAAATAAAAAATGTATATTAAGACCTCTATATATAAAAAGCAACCAAACACATTAAATAAGGCCATATATTAAATGCACATTTTATCATGGTTAGAGAGCTGTTAGTTACATCAAGCCCAAAATGTCATTAACCAAACTGTTCAGCATGGCCTTAAGTGGTTTACTGCTTTCACAACAGCATTATAACACATTTTAAGTACATCGATAAAAATCGCAACCCATTTTTCCACCAAGCGAGTTCATTAGCATAACTAAATGCTACTGCAGATATGCAGACTTGGCACACAAATAATTCAATATGCTTATTATTGGCTATTTTTTCACAGCTTCAAACTTTTTCTCAATTATAATTTTTGTCTTACGCTTTATGCTACTTACCACATTCAAAAAAGTTGTAAACTGGTCGCACTTTGAGTACTCTTTGCATATACTCGTGTAAAATGCAGACTTCTGACTTCCCGTTGGGGTTGATGACAAACTCTGAAATATAAATACAGTCGGTCTGGTTAAAACACATGTTGTGTACTAAATTCATTAGTGTAATGACTCAGACAAGTACCTTTCTTTGTTGGGGCGTCTTGTACGGAGAGTGTGATGAGCTTCTGATTGGCTGGTAGGATGGGCCTCTCAGACTCGGCCTGCTTCCTCTTCATGTCCCGGTTGAACTGTCTGCGCTCAGCCCATGTGCGAAACTTCTTCACCGTCACTTGCTCAAAATCAAAGCACTTCTCTAAGTAGCTTCTAAACTCCTCAATGTCTGGGATACAAGTCACAAGAAGAGAGGGTTTAAAAACCATGTGGATTTTAAACGGTTATGCACAAGAGAGAGTAAAACCTCAGCCTCTTACCAACAGACTCATCTTTGCAGACCTCCACCTTGGCTTTGACCTGGCCCAGCGCTCCCTGTGCAGTATCATTGGCTTGGCTGTCCTTCCCCTCTGAAGATCTTCCTGGCTTCATGAGGTCAAGCTCTGGATCTTCTGATGTTGGTCTGCCTGTCGGCTCTTCTGTGGCAGTAGAGTCAGGCTCGTCGGCTCTCTCCAATGTGATGCCCTCATCCCCAGATTTCACTGGAGACACCTCTGCAGTTGGAGTCACCTCTCCATTCCGTTCCCTTTCTTCTTGATCCTTCATTTTCTTATAGTGCAAGCAGGGAATGCTACTGGTTGGTGGGTCATGTTTCTAGGGGGAAAATGAGTAGAACACAGGGATGAGGTGCATGAGAATGCAAGGCATTCAACTTTTAAGCAGAAATGATACAAGACAAATATCATAAAAGTATCATATCTTAGAGGAGTCAAACCAATTACCCTAATGCTTCCTGTTCCAAGGAAGTAAGGTCTAGACCATGTTACAACTCTGCTTTCCCGGTGGAGGTAGACTGGAATGCCAGAGTTATGGAATGTCATGATCCACCCATCGGGTAACGGCTCAGTTGGTGGACGCCCACGACCTTAAAATAATAAAAATAATTCAAATCAATAATAATAATACCTAAAAAAAGTTAGTCACCTACAATCCTATGTAGGATTTTAAATGGTTTGAATTAGTTTTATTAACAAACTAAAATGAAAAAGTAAAAAAAAAAAAAAAAGTCAAATTAGAAAACCTGAAATTAAAATACATTCTCATGACACCAAAAATAAAGCATAATAAAAACATCCACAAATTACTTAAGTCTGATACAGAATATACACTACTGTTCAAAAGTCAGAAATTATCACATATTCATCAGACGCATTCAATTGATCAAAAATGACAGTTAAGACTTTCACATTGTTACAAGAGTTCTATTTCAAATAAATTCTGGATCTTTTAAACTTTCTATTCAATAAAGCATCATGGGGGGGATGGGGAATATATCAGTTTCCACAAAAATATTAAGCAGCACAAAAGTGTTCAACACTGACAATTTTTTTTCTGAGTACCAAATCAGCATATTAGAATAATTACTTTAATTTTACTAATCAATTTTAATAACTAGAATTCCACTTTAAAATATTTTAAAACAAATTGTTTAATATTTACAGTATTCTTGATTAAATAAACCAAGCCTTGGAGAGTATAATTTTATTTTTTACAAACTTTAATACAAGTTTTGTATTAAGGTTTATTTATTTTATATAT